GTTCATATTGAGAATTATATCTCTTCTACACTTACTGGATCTTTTTCAAAGGGAGCTCGAAGTTATACGCAATATCAGGAGCAAACACTTTTGCTCTTTCCACAGGGTGACGTAAATTAATGTTACAAAACAATTGGCTTTGTGTACAATGTTTTGTATGTTTTCGAATGCGAATTATGACAACACGCTGATACGATTTAGTTTGTTCTTAGAATTTGCAAAATTTGTTTTGCGTGATATACAAATAACACATTGTTATTGTCTGATGCTTTTAACAATTCAGGAAGTTTCGGTCTGAGTTAATGAGACAATATCCTTCTATGACCATTGACAATTAAAGAATATTGCCCACAATGATACTGAGAGGCGCGCATTTTTAATGCAGTTTCTCTTGAAATTTAATTTGCTTTATCGCTATGATAAAAAACGTTCTAAAATTACGCTACAACTTTGAAGCTCACGCTTCGTATTCCCTTAACATCTTTTCCTTAAGTCTTCTTATCCCTCGATATATTAGGACCTTTTTGTAATTTCAAAGAACAGCGAAAAATCTACTTTTTAGGGGTTACATATATGGCAGACTATGACAACATCGATAATGTTGAAGCCGGTGTGATTATCACTGCGGTGAGTTTTGCATCAGCGAAAGTTTCCAATTACGGAAACATTAAAAAACATTTTAGCTTGGAATCGTAGGTTGTTCTTCAAACTTCATCGCTATATTTCATATGTTTGGAAATGTTGCTTACCAAAACGCCTTCGGCTATATATGTACCTCACATACTGTAGCAAGCTTTGCTGCCTGCGTCATTTTCATATTTTGGACAGGACCAGCAACGTTTTTGTAAGTGTTTTTAGAAATGTTACATAGTCCTCACTCCCTAATTCGTAATTTGACGTATAAATTTGCCAATTTATTAAGCCGTTTCGACAAGACTCTCACAGATTCAGTGCTTGGAGCTAGTATTGGTTATGTCTTCCGCTTTTTTGGAAACGCAATAATCTATAGCCAAATGCAACTTTGTATAAACCGTTTGGTGGCTGTCACATGGCCTTTCAAGTA